GGAACCGAAACAAGACGAAGGGCGCGTGGTGCTTGAAAAACGCACTGATCAGGCATATCATCTGAAAGGAGCGGGAGCTGTGCCCGTTGTAGATCCGGCTGATCCGGTGAGCTGCTGCTTGTGTTTTTTTTTTTTTGTCTAAGTCGGATTTAAGTCGGGAGTCTTTTTTTTTTCGACTGATATTAATTCAAAGACCGCCTTAACAGTTGAGGGCATGGATCCCGTGTTAATGACTTCCGGTGCTTCAAAAATGCAAGGTGCAGCTGAGCAAATCCTTCGATTCTGAGCCGCACAGTGGGAAAAAATGAAAGAAAAGGAAGAACTATCGGCTTGAAACGAAGAAGTAATGCGAATAAAACTTTTCCTTCGTTTTAAACTGCGCTTTTTTTTTAGTGCATTTGCTCTTCAGCAGTAAACTGGAAAAGTGTGGAGCAGTGGGGGAGGGGACTTTTGGATTTTTTCTTTTGATGTATTTAATGCAGTCATTTGCTTCTTCTGATATCACAGCAGGAAAAACAGATAGGGGGTGGCGGGGAATAGAAAGGGCTTATGCAAAGATAAGTGGGAAATGCGAAGATTTTTTCCATTTTGAATTAGCAAAATATATGTTGAAAACTCCTGGTATCGCTGTTCCACAGTGTTTGCCTACTCTCAAGCCTGTGTTTCGCTCGCGTTGACTTAAATTTTGTGGTAGAATTTCTTTTCAAACGAAATTCAGCTTGAGAGCCCATTTTGTTGACTGACTGGTTCAACGCGATCATTTTTTGCTGTAAGACTGATAAGTTTTGTGTCTGTCGGTGTGTTTGGTTGACGGAATTTGGATTTGCCTCATAATGGTCCTTTTATCAGATGAAAATTGTGTTAAAGAGTTTTTCAAAAATTTTGCACAGTTTTTGCAACTGGCAATAATTTTAGTCATTAGCGAGCACCGTAAAGCAGTATCAAATGCGTCATTCGCGTACCCCACACGTAGAGACCGCTGAAACGACAATTACTATAAAGGGTCGCGACGATTTACCGCATATGGTTGTGGTAAATTTTTTTTTTCTTTTGTAAAATGCTCTGTGTGCTTCTTCGCTTTGCTTCAAAAACACCTATTTAAGTTTTTTGCGTGAATCTTTTCCACACCGAACATTTATTTTTTATGCGTTTTTGCATATTATGCGAATGCAAGAGATCTGTGTGTTCGCAGTTTTTACCACTCACTATCAACTGGAGAACCAAAGAAGCCGGGAAGCTGAAACTTTGGGAGTATGTGCCCAACTCATGTACAGCATTTTCGTTTTGATATTATCGTCGTATGGATGCCTAAAGGAAATATGCAGATTTTTTGGGAGGAAGCGACCTCGGGAACCGGGCAAAATGAAAAGCCGAAATTTCATAAAGATATTCTATTTCCTCGTGAGAGCTAAAGGTTTCAATTCCAGCTTTTAGCGCACGCATAAACCTCACACCGGCAACTCTGGTACTTCACTACCTAGGTTGATTTTTAGGCAGTAGGATACTAGGGGAACTCGGTAAGCTTGTGCGTGTTGGGAAAATTCGAAAATTTATTTTTGACATCAGTTTTTGGTGCATACCTGGCGTAGCACAGCTGGGGCTACCTTGCATACAAGATGTGTATTTGCAAAGTTTTTATTGGTTTTTTTTTCGACTCTCACATGGTCTAACGGGGTACTGGAAGGAGGGCCGGATGAGAAGAGAGGGTTCTTGCATGTAATTCAGTGGATTTATGGCTGCTAATAAACACTGGGAGGCTCTTTAATTTTCGCAGTGCCTTAGCGTTTTTGCACTAAGTGATTGTTGTTTCATCGGTATTTTTGGTCTTATTTTGTTTAAAATTTTGTGCTTAACAATGCAAACCAGGCATTTTTCCTCAGCGGCTCACCCTAATTCTCAAACTTTCACCTAAAAATGGCGGCTTAATTTGGCAAAATTTGAAGACTTTTTCGTTTTTATGAAGTATTGAAAAAGAGCGAGTTTTATGTCCCTGTTTCGAGAAGTAGCTCAGTTTGCTTGTTTGCATGCGCATTTTGTCATTTTTTTTCACCTGCTACTCCATTTTTGATAAAAATGTTTTTCATAGACGGATTCTTCGCCCCGCAAAACGGTCGAAGCGTGGCATGAGACAACAACAAGTCCTGAAACGGTTGTCACGGATGTTGATCATCAGGGCAATGTGATCAAGTTAGTCGAAATTCACTGTTATAATCTGCTTAACCGAAATTTTTGCTTGCACTGCCGATACAAAGTTGCAGGAGAACCATCAAGACTCAGCAAGTCAAGCATACCGTGCAGAGGCAGACATATCAGACTTTTGGAGTTCTCGGCCAAAATGGAGAGCAAGTAAGGTTTTTCTGTCTGTGATATGGTTAATTTTTTCAGAAACTGTAATTTACCGCGTCCCAGACTAACTTTTTAATCGATGGGGTAGCGACGACTTGTGAAGTTTTTGAGGGCAAGTAGCGTTTTTCTCGTGCTAAAGATTGAAAACTCGACTCGTTTACCGGGATAGTCAGTTTTTTTACAATTCATTTTGATGGTTAACTCGTACTGATACATGCCAGGGGATTCGGATTTGCTAGATCGGCCTGCTTCTGGGCGAGGTTCGAAACAGGATGCTACGAATAACTGTGCGAACGGATATCTACTGCTGGCATTTCGGCTATTTGGGCTGCTTCCAAGTGCTTCCACTTTTCATAGATAGTTGATGCTGAGGGGTTTTCAGTTTTTTTAATTTTCGTATTGATGGTTAGCGTAAGCAGCGAAATTTACAGATTTTGTGGTCCTTTTTAGCTTCGCTGATGTGTTTTTCTACTGACTTAGATATCGTGATGAATTCCATCAAATTTTCGATGGTTTTTACAATAACATTGAGAAATTTTGCAATTTTTGAGCACTACTTTTGAATTTTGCAGGCATTTTGCAGAAATCTTCGGTGGAACTCGCTGCGTTTTTGTTGTAGGTATTATACAAATATTTGAGACAAAAGATTGGGAGCAGTTTTGCTGAGTGTACTTTTTTGCCTGTGGATGATAGATTATAAAATTGTGCTAATTGATAATAAAATTTTGCATATATCATCAGCAGGGCGTACATGTGGTTGAGACAACACAGAAGTCGATCACACCAGTGGGCGATAATGCAGTGACAAGCACGCAGGCTCCGATTGTGGAGACGCGAAGTCATGCGTTAGCATACGAGTCGTTGAGGGGAGGCAGCAGTGCTGTGACAAATGGCAGCGATTATTCCGATATCCCTGGAGAACTAGTCTCAAGCCGCACAATCACACAGGGTAATCGAACCATCGAAACAATCACTGTAAGCGTTTAAACGATAAGTCTGTCAAAGAGTTTTTTGATATTTTTTTTACACCAATTTCTTTTTTGCTACAGTAAGATGTGCATTATTATGTATATATTTTAGTACAAAACAGAGAAAAATGGTGTTGTTGAGACTCATGTTGAGCATCGTGTTACCATACAGTCTGGCGATAACATCGACCATGATGCGGTGAGTACATGCTGATTTTGCTAAAATTACTCACTGCAACAGTGTGAAACTACCATTAGTGTAAAATCTCGTCAAGCACTTTCGGATTCTGGATGCCAGCAGCATTTCTAACTGGGGATTTAAGCAGTTTGCAGCATCCAGGTTGACCCTGGAAGTGCAGATGGCGAAGGTGCGAAGGAATTCAGTAGGGAAGAAATAGTTTAGGAAAGAAGGCAGGGACGAGATAAGACGTTTCGGTCCATTAAGTCATATATATGTCTTAAGCCTCACTTTTCATGCACCATCCTCACTGAAATACCAAGGAAGTAAAAGACAGTACGGGCCTCAAAGGCCCTGTGAGGGAATGGAAGAGGATAGTAGCCAGGGCCAGGAATAGTGGCCCGTTCAGCGAACGGGATCGACCGGCAAGGGTCGCATCAACCCTACGTGCAGTAGGAATAAGCAGGGTTAGGACGGGAGCCGTCCAGAATCCAATGAGGTAGTGAAGGAAGGAAAAAACCCACTCTTGATCAAGTCGTTTTTGCTGATCAGCTGCTTTCCAAAAATCACATTTTCCAGAATTTTGCAAACAAGAACATGCTTAGTCCCGTCAGTAAGCGATTATTTAGATTAAAATTTAATAAGTTTATAGCAGTTTTAACTAATCCCCGTGTTATTTTGCAGGAATTGAGCCAGGCAATTCTGGAAGCAACCAATATGAATCCAGATATGACAGTTGAAAAAATAGAGGTGAAGCAGGAATCACAATGTTAGCGCCACAGATCGGTGTTTTGCAACTCTACTCGGCATATTTTCTTTTTTTTTTTGTCTTTTTATCAGCAGACCCTTCCCCCTATCCATTTATTTTTTCAGTGTTTAATAATGATCAATGTCCCTGTGTTTTATGATGGTTTTACGTCTTCTCCCCCTCTCGCCGCCTCCTTATCAGTTTTTATCAGCGCTGTCGTTTTTTTTTTTCTTCTACGCTTCTGTTAATGAAAGCGCTGCCTGTTTATCGTTTTATATCTTTTAAGC